ATGGCCAAACTTCATCTCTCATACTTTGGACATATTGTCAGGAGGGGCCAGTCACTGGAGAAGGATATCATGTTTGGTAAGGTGGAGGATCAGAGAAAAAGAGGAAGACCCCCCAATGAGATGGATTGGCCAAGTGGCAGCATCGATGGACTCAAGTGTGGCAACAATAGTGAGGTTGGCACAGAATCAGGCAGTGTTTCATTCTGCTGTGCATAAGGTCACTATGAGTCAGTACTGACTTGATGGTACCTAACAACAACAACAAGAACAACAAGAAGTAACCAGCACACCTTTGTCTGAGGTAGAGACTGGAATAAAGTAAATGTTAATGAAATTTTTAAAAGCATGACTTTGTTTTGGGATTTCAGGAGAAAAATAATTCCTGAAATTATTTTTAAATTAAAAATCCTACTGCAATATGAAGAGAAACATAGGTTGGCTTGCTTAATATCACAGTCACAAATTGATATTTGAGTTGAATTGAAAAACCTTCCAAGAAAAGAAACTTTCTGCAAGGAAGCAGCCCTGTTATCCTCATCAACAGTGTGGGCCCTGGGTGTTCTCTCATCTCACAGACCACAGTGCCCCCTAGAGGCAGGAACGCATCTATTGTCAAGTGCCTTTGGTTCCAACTCACAGCCACCCTGTGTAGGGTTTCCAAGGTTGTCCATCTTGATGGGAGCAGAAAGCTTCATCTTTCTCCTGCAGAGCAGCTGGTAGGCTAGAACTGTTGACCTTGTAGTTCACAGTCCAGTGCTTATTGTACAGAGCCACGTCAAGATCCCGAGTAAAACTCCATGGATGCTGCTGCCCTGCCCCGTGGCTTTCTAAGACTGTAATACTGTAATTTTTATGGAAGCAGACTGCCTCATCTTTCTCTTGGAGAACTACCTACCTTCTTGTTAGCAGTCATGTGTTTAACGACTAAAACACCAGGGCTTGTCTTGTTAAGTGCCAACGAGTTGTGACTCATAGTGACCCGGGTATAGGGTTTCTAAGTCTGAATCTTTGTAGGAGTAGAATGCCTCATCCTTTTCCTGTGGAGTATGTAGTAGGCTTGAACTACCGATGTTATTAGCAGTCCCATGCTTATCCTACAGTACTCCCAGGGCTCATTTCTTCTAGGAAGAAATTTCTACAAAAGGGAATGAGTAGAGACCGAAGGAAGGGTAGTGCCTAACCAGGGAGCTGCTAGGGAACCCTTTATGTGGAAAAATAAAACCAAATGGTGATGTGACCTTTCTCAACTTGTGAGTAATCTCAGGGTGGTGCTTCCTGTAAAATAGAGGGTTGTATGCTGGGGTAATGGCACTATAAATATATCATTGTCGTAAAATGTCGTGGAGTTGGTTCTGACTCATAGCGACTCTGTATAGGGTTTCTGAGGAGCAGCTGGTAGGTTTGAACTGCTGACCTTGTGGTTCATAGTCCAGTGCTGATCCTATAACCAGGAGTTCATATCAGTGTATTACTGTTGGCCGGTGCAGGGGTTTCTGATGGCACAGTGGGTTAAGCACTGGATTATTAAGCAGAAAGCTAGCAGTTTGAACCCAGCAGCTGCTCCCTGGTAAGTAGATGAGGTAGTCTGCTTCCATTAACATTGCTAGCCTGGGAAACCTCCCGGGACAGTTCTGAAGAGTCCGTTAGGGTGACTATGAGTTGAAATAGACTCGGAGGCAGTGGGTTTAGTTTTTTTGTCATGTTGGAGTGGCAGATTATTGCCATCCCATGCATGAGAACTCACAATGCCTTCCACACTTGAGTCTGAACTCTGCCTGGTTCTCAAGGGTAAACACAGTGGCTTGTAACTTAGCTCTCATATAGCATCTCTCTCTTTCTCTCTCTCAAGGGATAAACACCTGTTTAAGGTCACACAGTAAGTGGTGAAGCCAGGATTGGCTTCACCACTGTTTGACAGCTGTCAGTATGGAGCAGAGTCCCTGAAGAAAGAGGGCAGGATGGGTCAAGGTCACTATTTTAGAAGGTCAGCCTTCATTGGAGGAGTGCCAACTCGTTTTTGTTGAGCTTGGAGGAAAGGTGATGAGGATGTATGGGGACTGTGGCTAGGTTTTAGGAGGACATAAGGGGAGATCACTTCTGTTGAACCCTGTCTTGGGTGCAGAGAAATTAAACGTTGGGTATAAAGATATGCTCTGTGGACAGGATGAAATCTGTAATCATACTGGTGACTGTCATTTCATCTTGGAGATTCTGCTCTGTTGGCATCCAGCCTTCTGGGTGACACTCTGCTGTGACACCCTACCTGCCTCTCCTCTTCTCTGAGGTTTGTGTGTAAGTATTCTTAATTATATCTGATGTTTGCACCAGTCTGAATATATAAACCATTTGTAGGCAGGGTCTGTGTCTTTTAAACTGTTGTTACATTCTGCTGAGTTGGTTTCAACTTACCAGCAGTAGGTTTTCTGAGGCTTTAAATCTTCGTGGGAGTAGAAAGCCTCACCTTTCTCCTGTGGAGCAGCTGGTGACTTTGAATATGTGATGCAGACTGTATTACACAGACTTTGTGGTTCATAGTTTGGTGCTTACTGTATGGAAATACTGGGCTCCCATCTTTTAACTACTTAATGTACATATGTCCTGAAGTGCCTAGAGTTAGGCACATGGTAAGTATTTAGTAAATACTTAGGGCTTCTAAGTATTTTAGGTAACTGTTCACTAAGATTTTAGTAAATACTTAGGACTTATAAGTATTCAGTCATTTTGTTTGCAGGTGTAAGTGGAAGTGTTTGGATTTTATTGTTTAGAGTAATTTGTCTATATAAACACAAGGGGGTGCTATTTAGCCAGCAGTGACCAGTTTAAAAAAAAAAAAAAAATTATAGGCCTTCATATTTGAAAGCTTTAGGAGGAAAGACAGTTGCGGGTATTATATTAAGTAGATTCCTGTTAGCTTTTGTTTAAAATTCAGAAGTTCATTGTTTTTGAGATTTGCTTCCTTTCCACCTCCACCCCTCCAAAAGAGGGAAAATAAAGAATTTATGTAAATATATTTCCCTAGGTATCTCCAGAAGACCCGGGAGCACAGTTTCTGATCCGGACTGGGTCCGTTGGCCGAAATAGGGCCGAAGCCTCTTTGGAGCGAGCTCAAAATCTCAACCCCATGGTGGATGTGAAGGTGGACACTGAAAATATAGAAAAGAAACCAGAGTCTTTTTTCACTCAGTTTGATGCTGTAAGTTTCCAACAGAGGGTTAATTGCTTCGGAATGAAAGCTTTTGTGTTCTTAGAGCATTAGACTCTGGGAAGTGCTTTCCTTTTCCCTTTTTAAGTTGATGAGACACATGTTTCTTTAGGTACATGGTGTATTGGTGGGACATGGTGTAGGAGAGGCCCACTCTGTTAGACCTACTGTTAACTATTGGTGACTTGTTCCCCACTGGCTGCTGCTTCAAGTGTATGCAACCTAAAACCAGATTTCATCATTGATGGTTTTGTCTTCCTTCCAGAACTTGGGCACATAGTTGTGATACATTTTATTGCAAATTATTTGTACCCCAAAACTCTGCAGGTTGTTGATTAATTTCTGTAGCAGAGATAGTTTTTTGTTAGAAATATCAAACCACAGCTGTGTTTTGTTCTAAGAGAGAACACACCTGATCTTGGTTTGTGTCTGTCTCTCTCCTTTTCTTAATCGCTTTGACTTTGTTGCTATGCAGAACTACCCACCATCACTATACTGTTTGATAGACCAAATGAGGCCTATCTAACCTCATTTAGTTTCACTGCTAGATCCCTCTATGCCTAGGTGAAAAGAACATGTTAACTTTAACCTCACTATCTGTGCCTTTACAGACTTAGTTCCCTGTGTCCTGGGAAAGCTTAACAAAGGTTTGAGAAGCATGAACTTGTTACCAATGATCTGCTCATTTTTTAAAAATGGCAAACCCATTCCATTAGAGCAAGGCTTGGGAACATCTGGCTAACTTGCGGTTAGCAGTTCAGTGCTTATAGTAGAGCGCCACACCAAGAGTCCAGCCATCACATTGGTGGAGATGGTATGCCGTGGAGTTGGTTCCGAGTCATAGCAACTCTGCATAGGGTTTCCAAGGCTGTAAATGTTTATGGGAGCAGAAAGCTTCATCTTTCTCCCACGAAATAGCTGGTACTTTCGAACGGCTAACTTTGAGGTTAGCAGCCTGACTTGTAACCGCTACACTACTAGAGCTCCTTAATGAGAGGATTAACCAGGTAATATATAGGGTGAGTTAATGTTTGTTCAAATATAGCAGGCTTTTTTTTTCTAGTTTTAGTTTTTGTGAACTGAGCGATAGTTTACATGGGAGACATCGGCTTTATACCATCATTTCATTGCAATGATTACAGTCTCCTCCGTGCACCATCACTCAATAGTATTTGCTACTATTCTCTCTGGGTTTTTTCTTTTCTTTTTGATGTACACAAAAACACTCAGGAATATATAATCATTTAAACAACCAAAGGGCACATTCTGCAAGCCTAGAAGGCTAATTTTAAAGTTGATAATTTTGTATGGCCTGCGAATGATGTTACAAATTTTGTCAAAAAAAGTTCCTCATCCTGCATTAGAAGTTCAAATTTGCATTAGGTAGTTTGTTTTTCACACTGTTAAATTTCATATATGCATTTGTTCACATAAGGGTTTAAAATGATAGATCGTGTATTTTGTTTTTTTATGATTCTTTCTACATTGTCACTCAGGTTTTGGGACGCTTTCCATTTGGACACAAGTCCTCTCTTCATTTCTTTGTTCATCTTAGGTGTCTCTTGGACCTTTTACAATTAGAGGCCAGGTTTGTTAGAACTGAAGGATGGGTGAGGAGAACTGCTTCCTGGGCCTTGTTACACGCTCCACATTGTAGGTCTGGTGGCAAGACTCCATGTGGTCAGTTGGCTGCATATTCAGCTATGGCTTTCTTACTCTTTAGATTAGATTATTTGTTCTTTTCCTTGATTGGCTGCATCCTCTCAGTGACACCAAAGGATCATATTTCTCTGGATGGTTTCATGTCACTCAGAATGACGGACAGCAGCAAAGAGATGCCAGCAAGTTAATGTAATTTTGTCTCTCCAACTTTCCATGTTTAGAGAAAACATTCAATTTGTAAGTTAATCATTTTGATCTTGATCACTCAGCTTCTGTCCCAGAATTGGTATTTGTACAATACAGCGCAGACTTGGCCAACACCTCAGTTTATTGAAACAAACCCAGAAGCCCCAGGGTGACATTGGTAATTCTGCTGAGTGAATCACCTCTTCATTGCCTTCTGAATGAAAGGTCATTTGGTCTGTAAACCTTGCCTTTTGTCTTTAAATTCAGATAAAGTTTCACACCATAATATGTGGAAAAAATAATCCCAACTGGACTTGTTTATCTTTTGTATCTTATCCATCAAAAGAAGGAGGGAGTGGGAAACCCTCACATTAAAAAATGTGAAACTTAATGCCCTGTTGTTGTTAGTGCCCTGTTATTAAGCTGATTTTGACCCATGGTGACCCTGTATAGGGTTTCTGAGGAGCGACTGGTGAGCTTGAACCGCCGACCTTACAGTTCAAATGGCTTTGCAGTCTGGCGCATTAACCCACAGCACCACACCTTAGGGTCAATTTAAAGAGCTTATTTTGCTCCTGTAGTTCTATAGCTTATTCAGAATTTGATAGCTATTAAGAGTTTAGAAATAGTCTACATGATGTATCCTTTTGCTCCTCATGAAAACTATGAAATCTGGTTTTTCTGTTTATGATATAGTGGAAACAAATGCATTCAGTAGCGTTTACTTTCAGCCTAAACACAGTTTAAGCAGAAAAGTGTTGGTCTTTTAATTTACGTTTCCTACACACTGAAACCTGCAACTTTTTTTTTGGTCTTTTAACTATTGGACCCAAAGAACCTGTTGTACTAGTTTGGAACTGGCTCCCAGCATGCCCAGAGAGACTGTTCATTAAGATTTATGGAGATGCTAGGGCAGGACTCATGCAGTGCCAAATTCTCTCTTTCTGCAGGTCTGTCTGACTTGCTGCTCCAGGGATGTCCTAGTGAAAGTTGACCAGATCTGTCATAAAAACAGCATCAAGTTCTTCACAGGAGATGTTTTTGGCTACCATGGATACACGTTTGCCAATCTTGGAGAACATGAGTTTGTAGAGTAAGTGTTGGAAGATGAGGGAGAACATAGCATTTTCAAAATTGAGTTTTATTTACTGGGGGCATATAAACCATCTGAAGGAAGTAGTGCCCGCTGAATATATACATTGTGGTTCAGGATTATCGAAAATGTCCCTGCCCTCTAAAATGTTGCTGTAATCTGAAAATAGACCCTGCAGAAAAGACAGCAGACTTCACACGCCATCAAAGGCCACCATGTGGGTATTTGGTCAGTCTGGGCTTCAGGTATTAGAGTCACACTTTCTGTTTGGGGAAGGCTTGCTGAGATTATAAGCAGTTCCCCCGCCATCCAGCTTTGGATGGTGTGTTTTTAGGTTGAAAGAGTAACACAAGCATAAAATCAGACAGGTAACTCCAGAGCCATATCTAGCCAAAGGCTGTCTTGGAAAAGTTCTCGTGTAGCAAATAGAGCATGTCTCTCCTTTTGAACAGTGAGGTTGTAGATCTTGGTAATTCTCGCAAGATGGGACCTGCAGTGTTTTGGATTTGTAGCTTCTAGGTGAAAGATGGCTTATGATAGAGTACTGTAAAACTGTATGGGTTGGGGTGTTTTGTTTTGTTTTTTTTTTTTTGCTGTAATTTCCAGCCTCCCTCCCTCTCCCCAACTTGCTAATGGGAGGTAAAGAGAGGCCCTGGGTGGTGGTAGGAGCTTTCCACAGAGAGATTCAGTCAAGCCACTTAATTTTTCTGGACTGCAACTTTCTTGGCTATAAAATTGAGATGGGGGAAGGACAGATGATGTGTGGTTTTAAGAAAATCCAGTTCTTTGGGCACATTATAAACGCATAAAGAAATCATAGTAGAAAAAGCATGTCAGATTGTTTAAACTTGCACTCTCATGGCAGAGAGTAAGAATTAAGTTTCGCTGTGTATTTCAGAAGATAGATCTGGTGATCTGCTTTCTAAAAATCATCATCGACAACCCTACAGAGCACAGTTCTCTAATACATGTCAGGGCACTACGAGTTGGCATCAACTAGATGACAATTACTGGTTTCTTGAAAATTTACTTCATGATTCCAGTAGAATGTATTAAGAATTTCTTTCATTTTTTGAGAGCTTATGATGTACTCAGTAACTTCTGTTATTTGAATCCTGCCATGGACTGTTGTTTTCACAGAGCAAGTCAGCAACTAACTTAACAGGTAGTCTGTCCCCAGGCAAGGATTTGAATCCAGATCTGTCTGACCCTAGCTCTAACCATGCTATTCTCCTGGTTTGGTACATGGCTAGAACCCCACCCCACCACCTGTCACCCTCCAGGGAGAAGACCAAAGTTGCCAAAGTGAGCCAGGGGGTAGAAGATGGACCTGATAGCAAGCGAGCAAAACTGGATTCACCGGAGACAACCCTGGTCAAAAAGGTTTGTGTTCTCACTAGCGAATGGTTTCTGGACTGTAAACAGGAGTACGTGTGTTGTGGGCAGAGGCCTGGAGGAGAAGGGTCTGCACAGGCTGGACCAGTACCTTTCTCTCCCATCTCCAGGGATGCCTGCTGTCTAGTGCAAACCAGCTATTTTCAGGAGAAATTGGGCACCAGATGCCAGGTGTGAGTTTCTTAGAGCAGTGAGAAATGCAGAATTTTTGTATAATCTCTCTCAGATTGCCTACTATTGGCAACCTGCTCAGCTTGGTTTGATTGCAGCTTCTGCCAACACTGAGAGCCAGACAGAACATGTCTGCAGGACTCCTTTGGTCTGTGGGCCACCAAAGGGTCATTATATTTCTAAGAAATAATATTTCAGATGGATAGATGATATATTAGGTACTGGTGTGGCGCTATAGGATAAAACTGGACTGCTAAGTTGGTGGTTCAGATTCACCAGCCACTCCTTGGAAATATTCTATACAGGGTCACTATGATTAGGAATCGACTCTAAGGCACTTAACAACAGCAAGTGGCAGGAACCCGTGCTGAGTGTTCTAAATTGTTTTTGCATAGTGTCTCCCTAGCAAAAGACCTTTTTAGAAGAAAAGCCTTTTAATGTCAAATGTGGTCAGATATGTATGAGTATGTATGCTTCAAAAAGTTTGTATCCGTGGTCTCTTCCTTTATTCCATTTATCCATGAACTTTTTTTTAAAAAGTGTTTTATTTATAGTTTACATGGGAGACCATTACTTTTACATTCATCTTAATCATACATTGTTTCATTGCTATGGTTACAATCCCTTTCATGCATCAGCAACCAATCACAGCGTATACCCTGGATGTTGTTGTTGTTGTTGTTAAGTGCCATCGAGCTGGTTCCAACCCATAGCAACCCTGTATAGGGTTTCCAAGGAGCAGCTGGTGAGCTTGAGCCACTGACCTTGTGGTTCAAACAACTTTACAGTCCAGAGCATTAGCCCACAGCGCCATACCAGGGTTCCAACTCTTTAGGATAAGCACTTGTTATTGAGCAGTTGTTAAGTGCCATCAAGTTGGTTCACACTCAATGTAATCCTGTATAGGGCTCCCAAGGAGCTGCTGGTGAGTTTGAACCACTGACCTTGTGGTTCAAATTGTCATTGCATTCCAGCACATTAACCCACACCAGGTTGCTATGGGTTGGAACCGACTCGAGACTCAATGGCACTTAACAACAACAACATCCTAAGGAGTTACCGGGTTCTCAGAGCATGATAGCTCTTTAGGATACGCACTGGACTTCAGACCACAAAGTCAACAGTTCAAGTCCACTCTGTGGGAGAAAGATGAGGCTCTCTGCTCCCACAGAGATTTACAGGTTTAAAATGGAGGGGCTTCAAAGGCAAGAAGTGACTGGCTTACAAGCTTTCAAGAGGGAGCCTAGATCCAGAGGGTGTGGAGGAAGGTAGAATCTCCACTGAGTAGTATCCAGTCTGTCTGGGCGGGGCTTATGAAAGGAAATGCATATAGGTTTCTTGTGATACAATAGTGAATAATTGTTATCAGGACTGATTGTGAGGGTTGGAAATGTAAAGGTAGACATTTTGTAGCAGAGGAGGGGAGTGATTAACTTTGCAGTCTAGCGTATCTTGGTGTGTGGTGCTGTAGTATAAACCCTGTACCACAAATATTTGAACTGCAAGGTAGGCAGTTCAAACTCACCAGCCACTTCTCCTATACAGGGTCGCTGTGAGTCAGAACCGACGCAGCAGCACTTAAGAACAGAACGTGGTGGTAGTTGTGTGCCATTGAGTTGCTTCCGACCTAGCGATCCTGCATAGGGTTTCTGAGACTACATTTTTACAGGAGCAGAAGATTCAAACAGTTGACCTTGTGGTTAGCAGCCCAGCTCATGATCCACGTTGTTGTCAAGTGCTGTTGAGTTAATTCCGTCTCATAGTGACTCTGTACAGGGTTTCCGAGGAGCAACTGGTCGGTTTGATCAGCTGATCTTTTGGTTTGAAGCCCAATGTTGATCCTACAATGCCACACCAGGAGCCTACACACACACATGCATGTTGTTAAATGCTGCTGAGTCAATTTCGACCCATAGCGACCCTGTATAGGGTTTCCGAGGATCCACTGGTGAGTTTGAACTGCCGACCTTGCAGTTCATCCTGCTTTGCAGTCTGACGCATTAACCCACAGCTGCACATGAGGACCCCTAAATGTAGTTTGTGCTAGGGTCCTAGATTTAGGCTATGTTTGGATTAGGTGCAGTGCGTAAATTCGTATTTTAGAAAGTGGATGGGAAGGGAGCCAGAAGGCAATGAATCCTGTAGCTTATGTTAGAATCTGAGAAGGAGGGAGGCCTGGGATGGGGAAAACAGAAGGTGAAGTGGCCAGAATTGGTTTTGTTGAACTGAGCAGGATGCTAGGACCAAACCCATATTTACTCTCGGCTTTGTAGATTGAGATGTTGAGAAAGGAAAACAGCTGGCCAGAGCCTGAGTTAAAATTGCTCCAGAGGGGGATTTCTACAGTGCACAGAAACCACAAGAGAGGTTGCAGAAAACCACAGAAGTGGGGCTGCAGGGAGTCCCCAGCAGGGTTGTGCCCGGGACTTTTCTTTCTCTTGCTTTTCTGTATTGGTTTTGGAAGAGGTGGATGGTGTAAGTGTGACACAGAGGAATTTTTAAGCCCCAATTTCAGTGTCTCTTCACAGGAACGTAATTATCCCCAGTGAACATTAGTGTTTTGGCCATTCTTGGGTCCTTTTCTTTCCTGAGGCCCAGTCCAGTTTTTGCTGAATAGCTCAGTGAGTTTCCTAGGGGGGAGATCAATTGTTAGCAAACGGAGGAGGACAAAAGCAGCTTTGTGGGCCCTGTCAGTGTATAAATCACATCCTCTCATGAGTGTGACACTTGGCCTTGGTGTGAAGGGTTTGATGGCTTAAGGGCAGTCTCTGATTGAGGAGGGTCTTTCACATTCAAATGGAGAGAGGCCTTGCTTTGTTCACCATTCACAGCTGGAAGGCTCTCTGGAGTCAGTTCTGATGATGCCCACTGGGGCAGATCTGGAAGACTCTTTGGGGAGCCACTTTCTCGCTATGAGGAGAATGTGGACAGCCCATGCAGGCAGTCTGTGGCCTTGGCGGGCCGCACCTCAGCTCTTCAGTCCTAGGGCTCTTTGTGCCGCCTTTTCCTCCATCGGCCGAATTGGAAGGTATCAAAATATTCCCCAGCTGGCATTGTGAGTCAGCTGTTACACAGGGACAAGTCAGACTTGGATTCCAACCTCTCGCCTGGAAGGTCACAAGGCATTCGGTGCATTCCTGCTGACAATCCCTGGGATTCCAAACCTTGCCTTTGTACCAGGGCACTGGACCCAACCGGGCTTTGGCCATGGCTCTGCCACCATTTAGTCACATGTCACCCCCATTTCAGCAGAGGCAGACCCATGATTTTGAAGTTGTCTTCCAACTCAAAAACTCTCTAGCTTGACTCAGATTCAGCTCTTTTGCCTAAGTCATATAGAATAGCGAATTGGGTGCCACTCAGCGAGGGCAGGATTGGGGTGGGGTGTGGGAGCAGCCATTTCCTGTTTCCTGTGAAAGGTCTCTCTGGTTAGGGCTCCTTTCCCTTTCCCTTTCCTTAGGTCAACCACATGTAAAGTGGCTCTTGTTTTAAGGTACACACATTGCTCTCCTGAATTAGAAATGTTAGAAAACAAAGAGGAAAAACAGCTGGGGGTTTCATACCATCTTGGAAGACAGTGGGCTCATCATGTCTTCTCACCCAGAGACGGAGGTACTATGGAGAGTGTGCACTTCCTTTGGTGTCCAGAAGTGGGGAGTCATCAGCCCTTCAGTGACACTGATGCGCAGCCGATAGAGGACCAAGTCATTGTCACACAATGAGGAAGTACCTAGGAAGACTTCCTGGAGGAGGGGCGTTGTGATTAGGTATTGGGAAGCACATCCAGCCCTGCTGTCTCTGTTCAGAGCTGACGCCAAAGCTAGGAGCTGGTCAGTGGCTGTGTGAAATCATGCTTCCTCTGCCTTAGGGAGCTGGCGGGGTAAACAGAGACAGTGGTCATGGGCACAGGTCCAGGCTCCTCCTTGGTGTTCCTAGGATCATTTGAAGTTTCCTGAGGATGGTGGAGTACATATGCGAAAGTTGGGGTCATCCTGGGAAATAAACCAAAACATCACAGCTACTGCCGTCAAGCCAATTTTGACTCCTAGCGACACTACAGGACAGTAGAACTGCCCATAGTGTTTCCAAGGTTGTGATCCGTATGGAAGCAGCCCCACATCATTCTCTGGTTGGTGGATTTGAGTCTCGTACCTTTTGGTTAGAAGCCAAGTGCTTCAGCCATTGCGCCATCAGGACTCTTAACTCTCATCTTCCGGAAAAATCCAAATCCTTCGCTCTTGAGGCAATTCTAATTCATAGGAGTGTTATAGGACAAGCTAGAACTGTCCCCATAGGGTTTCCAAGGCTGTAGATCTTTACGGAAGCAGACTGCCACACTTTTCTCCAGTAGAGCTACTGGTGGGTTTGAACTGTTGACCTTTTAGTTGGCAGTCAAGTGCTTAACTACTGTGCCACCAGGGATTCTTCTTCTGGGAAACCTTAAAGGATACAAGATGTTTCTTTATTATAAATTGTCTGCCCAAGATGCTGAGACAATGGCTGCTCTCAGTTAACAATGCCGAAAACTGGAACACAGTGGTGTTGGTAGCATTGGTCCATGAGACTGCCCAGAAATGTGCATTGAATTTTACCTCTCCCTCTGCAGTGGGAGTCCTGGGGTGGTGCTGTAGGATAAGCACTGGACTGCTAACCACAAGGTCGGTGGTTCAAACCCACCAACTGCTCCGCGGAAGCCCTATACAGGGTCTCTGTGAATTAGAACCAACTTGATGGCACTTAACGACAACAACTGCAGTAGTGGGCAACTAATGAGGGCTAGTCACTGCTGTTCATACTCTTTTCATGAATTGTTTGTG